CTCCTTGATCCTGTGAGCTGGCTGCTGCCCACAGCTGTAAGACCAAGCAGAGGAACATTCACATCATAAACCTCGGGGGTTGGTGCTCAGTGATGGAGAGTCTGAACCCAGGAGAAGCCATGAAAAATGAGGTAACAACATAATTTTGGTGGGAATGGGCAAAAAACAATGCCCGACCTTGCCCAGACATAGGAAAAAACAACTGCAGAGTTATGGCAGCTGTAAAATGAGCCTGAACTAAAACATATGAGCTGATATTACAGGGAATAACCCTTAAGAAGTGGAAGGTTTTGATAGACGCACTCCTACAGGTAACTTCAGTGCCTGGCAGCTGCAAGGCTCCAGTAATGAATGTCAGACTGCTGGCCAGCTGCGAGGAGGATCAACATCTATTTGCCTTCAGTGAAAGCAGCATCAGTTTGACATATGACATTCAAATTATATGAACTTTCAAAGTGTAGTTAAATGATTGCTGTTCGACCTGAAACCTTGAATCCACCGAAGCAACCTCGCAGCCGTTTACCTTAGCTCTGTGGGGGACTGAATCACTGGGCTTGAGAATGAAAGATCAAAGTGTTTCTGCAAATTCAGTCCATGCTATGTCGTGTGTCCAGCTTGATACCGTATGTGTGCCTGAGTGATCAGAGGGGTAAAAATGGTCCTCCTGCTTCTGTGTCTTTTGGCTCTGCAGATGACTGCTGCTGGCACACATGGGACTGAGGAGCCAGAGATGTCTCTGTGTGACAGACAGATGGTGAGAGGCTGGGGGGCATGAAATTTGGGGCCGTGGGATGGAATGGGGTGAGAAAAAAGGGTTCTCCCAGCTTGGTCCTGTCCCGCAGTCCAGTACCCCCTTCTCCTGGCATCCTCTGCAGTGGTGGGCTCCTCTTTGAGGTTCTTCTGCATTTTGCCTTGCAGGATGCCAGCCCAGCCTGTGCCGTGTCCATCACCAGCTCGTTTTTGAGTTGTCCATGAAATGGGCGCTGCAAAGAATTTCCCTCTCTATTTTAGGAGACTTTGTTATGCACTTGTTACATTAGCCTGTCAGCTTAATACCAGCAGTCATATCACTTTTATAACCTACCTGCTGAAGTGCTTTTGCTTGCAATCCTCACACTAAAACAACAGCTCAGGACCGAAGCTATGCAGGGAAAAAAATCACTGCTTCCTGACCTTTGGGCAAACTCTGTGGGCTGATTATTCCATCGATTTTAACCGAATTGAGCATTCAATAAGGGTGTCTGGAGGCCTGTCTGTCTTCAGCAGTGGGTCCAGTACAGCACCAGGAGCAATAATATGGACAACCTCTATTCAAGCCTGGGTCAGGGTCAGGAAAGCTCCAAGTGTCTTGCAAATTGTGGCAGGCACGACCACTCTACTGGGACCAACCCGGGGACCTCCCGCTCGCTGGCTCGCACAGCGATGGGAGAAGACCAAGAGCCAGAAAAGCACTCAAACACATGTTAAGCCTGGCAGCGATACCACTTCAAGGAGTGAGCACCAAGTTAAGTGCAAGTGGGTGCTCTCTCTTGAAACAAGTCTAAATAATTGAAGTGCAAGTGAATGGGGCCAGATTTGATGCTGGACTATCCTTCCAGAAGGAGGTGTTGCTAAGCTGAAGCTATGTTTGCATTAGGAAGCAGTGCTGTGCTATAGGATGGGCAGAGCAAAGGAGTTGATGCTGAGGGCCCTATATTTGTCCTATATGTTTTTTAGGGGGAGTAGAGGACTTGCTTCAAGCTGTCAGCAGCTGGAGCACGTTAGATGAGCTCCTGAAGCGCTTCTGCTTTAGTGTCACCCAAAAGGAAATCCATTTGCTCACTCTGTGACCTTGCTGTGCCCTGGATCAAAGCACGGCATAAGGCGGACACACACCAAAACTCGCCATTGCTTAGCCGCAAATAATTTTTAAAAAAATTTTATGTGCCGGTAAACTGAGGCAGGCAGCTGTCAAAGAGCACAGCTTTGTTTCCCTCTAGCTACGGGACAGTGCTCATTACCTCTGGAAATCATACCAGGAAGAGTTCACACAGAAAACCCCCCAGATAGCTCCTCAGTCAGGAGCAAAGCCAAGAAACAGCATCCTGTGTGCTGTGCCTGCTGGAAAACTCACTGTATCCAGGTGGTTCCCCAGTGCGAGGTTCCCCCCAGTCACTCCACAAAGCCAAAACCTGATGGCAAACCTCCCTCTAAGACAAGCGGGAACCAGCAAAGGTGTGCACGTTCTGCTCTGAAGTGTGACCAAACTCAGTGAAATGAAGGTGAGATCTGGCAGGTCTCAGCATTGTTTTGTCCCTTGCCAGAATTCTCCATAGGTGCCGGGAGATACAGCAGTGCCGTGGGTTCGTCGGTCAATCTCTCTGCGGGCACCCCGGCGCTGCCGGTCGCCTGCTTCATCGGCATGGGGTGCCAGCAGATGAAGATGCCTTTGAACAGAGATGAGAGAGGCTGAAATCCTTTGACACCTGCAAGTGAACTGTATATTACCAAAATGTTAAGCAGCTTTGTGAGAGAGATTATCCTGAAGGATGTTTTCCGTAGTGTTGACATTTGTATGTGAGTGATTAATTCCAACACAGGCGTGGAGCAAAAGGCAAAACCCTTCCCTTGCTGCCACCGGGCAAGCTACGGCCTTTGCTCCAGCAAGGTTATTAATTCATCCCTGACCTGTGACACTGTGTGTGACTTTGTCACCCTCATCTTCTTGGTCACCTCTCAAGGCAGAGACCTGGGGATTTTCCATGCCCCTTCTTGTGAACCGCTGTGATGGTGCAGGCACTTTTTGGCTCTTTGTTCTCCAGGGATCTGACTGCTTCTCTGTTTTGCTGTTCTCCCCTGAGATGTGCCGTCACAGTCAAACACAGTGCCATGGTTTTAAAAAGGAGATGGTAACAGCTGAAAACGAAGATGAATTGTCACTTTTGTACGTTGGTGGCAGAAGGGAGCTGCACTCCTGCAGGTTATGAAGGCAGAAGGGGAAGCTGTGGCTGCCCGAGCTGCTGGGAATTTTCTAACCCTCTCACCCAGCTCATCAGCGATGCTTTAGAGAAGCAGCCTTACTCTTCCCCTACACTTCCAGTCAAGAGTGTCTTTCACTGCAGAATTTAATCTGCTACAGAAAGATTATTATGATTCTTTTGGGCTTTTCTACTAAATTCCTGAAAAATATAAAAAGAAAGTATAAAAAGAATATCTAATAATATAATCTATCTATCTATCTAAGAATATAAAAAAATATATAGACTGCTGTGTGGTGAATAAAGTTCCTAAGCCCAACTTTGCAATAAGAACAACTTCACACCATCAATGACTCTGCTCAGCCATTTATTTTGGACTGTTGTATCGTAAACTCCGCATCTCCAAAAGCAGCTCTTACTACTGGTGATCCACATAGGCATTCATTCAGGCTGTAATGAGTTTTCAGCTCCCAGGAATCCAAGCAGCATTGTATATAGTAGTGACGGGTTTGGACATATATGCACATGCAAGTACTTCACGCAGTTCTGAAATCTGACAGCTTGGAAGCAGAAGACATCCTCCTGTGGAAGGGTACAGCAAAGCAGGTGCATGAGGTATTTAGGAGAGAGCACAGAGAGCACTTTGAAGCCTGTATGAGGTCAGCTGGCCTGCAGCACGGAGCAGATGCTGGAATCAAACCCCTCTGCTTTCACAGAAGGACAAATGCTTGGCTGAGACTAGCAAGACCACATCCTCAGTAACATGTGAGTGAAAGAATGAATTGCAGAAGAGAACTTCTATCTCTACTCTGTAGCACTGATTTTTGAGGATTCTTTGAGGATCCCACCAAAGAATTGAGGAAGCCCAGCCGGGAGAGGTGATGGGACGACATTGTCGTCTGGCCAATGGCTAATGAGATCTACAGATGGATTCACTTGCATTTGGAGGAAAGAGCAGAAGCAGAGACTGGCATCAGCTGGCTACAGAAGAGTTAAGTCAGTTTTTTCTTGCAGTTAGCCCTCCAGTAGCAGTTGCTGGAGGAATAACGCGAAATGCAAGTGTACAGGTCTTCTAGAGTCTAAAAAAATGACAAAGTCTATCAAGACTTTCCAGCTCTCAATAGCCAAAGGCAACACATTTCTTCTAGACTGAGGTTCTCCAGGACATCCAAAGGCTCTCAGTGTCACACCCTGCATCACTATTAATTCAGTTCAGTTGGTCTTACAATGGCTTAATATAAATCAAAGACTAAAAGGTGTCATGACAGCAGTATAGATGGTGGCTGTGTTGACAATCCCTGCTACAGGAGATGGCTGCATGCCTGCGGTAAAATAAGCAAACAATCGGGAGATACATGTGGGGCACTTCTCTCCCACTCTGCAAATCTCCGGTCATTAGGGGCAACAGCTTCTCACTGGGCTCCTCCAGTTAACTCATCTGCACTCTGAATCATGCAAAAGCCATCTAAAATCATAAGAAATTCTAAATAAATCAGCATCAGAAAATTTGCCGCAGGCATTCGTTCCTGCAAGGATGTGACCATTTTAACACTTGTCAGGGTCATAGCACACAGCTGAGGAAATGGCCCTGGACAACTCTGCGTTCCCAGGAGAATAAAACCAGAAGACATACACAGTCGCCCAGCAGGCAGTAGGAACAGGAGCAATGGTAACATTACTTAACTATGTGCAATTTGCTCTCCCTATCTTGATTTAAATTACACTGCCAGAAGAGACTGACAGTGTCTGGAATCAAATTGCTTAGAAAAACGCTTCTTCAGAAGGAGAGCAAAAAATGCCCAAATAACTTGAGTGCAAATGGCCTTGCAAAATGCCCATTGTGATCGGGGACAGGGGGAGCTGGGGCTAGTTTTCATTAGGATAATGCTCATGTAATTATAGTGGGCCAAGCCCCTAATGCCTGTTGTGAAATGGGGGTTTGCACCACTGACATTTCTACAGTGCGCGCATCAATCTGGGTCTCCTCTCAAGAGTTAGAGGAGGCATCATCAAGCAAGAGTCTCTGATCTGTTCCTGCTTCCTTCACTTCTCCAGACCAGGATGGGCTCTGGGGACCATCTTCAGGATGATGGGCTGCTTCGGTTGCGTGAAATCTTTTGTGTCCAGAACGAGTGGGATCTTGAGCAGCAGAAAAAAACCCGAAGCTGTCTAACTTGGGAACAAGAACAGTCATGACACTGACAGGACACCCTACAGCCACAGGTCTCTTAGCCACCCCTTGTTCTCAATGCATTTTCTAGCTTACAGCTGTATTTATAGCAGGACTACCCATATTGCTCATGCAAAACAGCTTTAAGATGGGATTTAATAGTCCTCAGCTCTTGAATAAATTGGTTAGTGAATTCTGGCTTTCACATGGCACAGTAGGAAGAGCTGCACTGATCAACAGGCTGCACGTGGCGGGAAAACCAGCCAAAATCCATCCGGGGAGCCACAGCTAAGGAGGGACACACAGAGCCATTTTGTTTAGTGGTGAAGTGTGTCAGCGCTAAGGGGAGCTAGATTGTAATGGGAGCTGGAGGAGCCATAAGCTCTCTGGGAAGAATGAAACTAAGATTGCTGCTCAGGCGGAGCACCAAAGAAAAAGCGTCCTCACACAGAAAAGTGAGGGTGTCCCTTGGGGGTGGGCTGGAAATTTCAATAAAAAGAACATTTAAAATTGGTGTTGGAGGCAGTCACCTTGCAGGGGAGGGAAGAGTGTTTTACCAAGTCTCCTCCATCAATCCGATGCTGCTCGTATCCCAGCTCTCCTTCTCCCCATCAGGATAATACACCCCACAGCCTGACAAGCTATATTGAAATCCCCATACCCCAGTATGCTTTGCCTCAGCAAATTTAAGCAATGTGGCTCAGAGCCCAGTGTGCCATCAGCGGAGGAGTGAAAGGAGGCTGCAGCTTCCATATACATGTTCCAAAGAGATGTTCTGGCATGAATTTTTCCCTCCTGCTCTGATCTGATGTACGTGACACCTTCTGTAAAAAAAAGGGCTGAAAGAGCCCCATAAACCTATGGGCACCAATAATACAATACATATTTAACTTGTCTCCTTTTAATTAAAGGCAGTTATAAAAAGAATCAATTTTATGGATTGCAGAGGACTAGAAAAATGTCATTAGACTTGAGGGAGGGTGGATAGGTCACTGCATTGTTAATGGACTATTACAGTCTTTCACCTCCAGGTTACTAGTTGAGTTGAAATCTGCATCTGCAGAGATTCCAGCTGAGCAGCCGTGCCAAGTAATAATTTAATAAGGATTTTTCTGTTTCTTACAACAAACGTCCTTTGAATATACTTGCTGCCCCCTCTGCTCCGATTTCCCAAGCTCACCTCGTGAACAAAAAGTATTAATGGCAATGCCTTTCATGGCAGTCAATCCAGAAAGCCAGGTAGGCATTGGAAGCTAACACCAAACACAGAGCTACCTGCCTCTGAGTCACAAGCAGTTGCCGTGTTTTTAGGAGGCCTTGCTTGACATATAATTTCCAACAGCCATCAGATTTACTTTATGTCAGACAGCCCTGTCTTGCAGGGCCTGACCCATCAGCACTGCATGCGGCATTCACAGGGATCCTGGCCAAAACCTGGCAGGATCCTGCGTAGCCTCGAAGGGGGAGAGGGTTGCCAATTCAAATTTAGCTCAGATTGCGCTTGCTTGAAAATTGTTACCCTTTAGAGACTGCCCGGTGGCCCACAAGAGGTGAATTTTGGTGTCTTGGGATCTCTCACAGTGAATAGCCGTGTTTGTGTTGCAAAGTGAAGCTTTGGAGAAGGCTGGGTGGGCTGGGGAGATACTCCCTTTCTGCTCTCAGGAGCAGGGTCTTCCTGAACTGGGTCAAGGCAGACTGGCAGTGCACCATGGGGGAGCGAGCACCCCATGACTTAGGTGCACCCAACATTAAATTTGCTTTTGTAGAGGCTTAAAAAAATGTGTCAGTAACTTGTAGTGAGGCATGTAAATCAACTGAGAAGATTTAAATCCAGTTATTCCCATACGCGCCTCTAATCCACAGTGAAATCTTCCTCCTTGATCTCTGTGTGAAGTAGTAAAACCCAAGTCTGCAGACAAGGTTCAGTGGTCCTGAAGCTGGCGGTCTCTGAAGTCCTCAGGGAAGAGAGGGATTTAGTGTGCATGAGGGACAGTTCCCTGTTTGTCCTGAGACGTAGGCAAGTGAGGGCACAGGACCATCTCAGTGGGACTAAAGGGCAGATAATGAAACGCATCTTCCCATATCCTCACCGGAGTATCTTTGCAGGTTCTGAATGAGAAGTTCTGCAACAGGACGACCGCAGCCACTTTCACAGTGAGGAGAGCAAACCTCGTTCCTATGCAGTTCCTGGGGCCAGTCCCAACAGCAGGAAGGTGTAAGGGTCAATAGACTCTTTGCTCTCTTTACTGAACCCGATTACAACAACAGAAAAATTAGAAAGAGCTACTGTTCCAGGATGTGGCAGCTTTCAGATCTGAAGTGATGAGGGGTCTGGGAAGGCAAAAGCCTTTTGTCTTTCTGTGTGTATTAGAAGAACCCAGCTAAGTCCCTTATTTCTGTCTTAACAGATACCTTATGCCTTTGCTTTTATCCTGCTGCTTGGAGTTGGTCCATCAGGTGAACAGGGAATACCTGAAATATGCTAATGGATTTCATAACTACTCTTTTCTCAGAACTCCCTCTTAGCTCAAAAACTGAACCCAGATTTCAAACCCTAAACCACACAGGTCTGCAGCTTCACGTCTTCTCTTTAGATCAAAGGACTGAGCTAACACAAAGACGTTCTCCCCCTGCATGACTAAAGGCAGAGTTGCTTTTGAGACATGCCAGCCATTCCTCTCCTCATCATGAAAAACAGGGAAGAACAATCAGCTTCACAGAGAAATTTGCCACTGAGCATTTTCAGTAATACTTCCTAGTGATCAGTTAGTTTTCATGTCAGAAAGCTTTTCATTCACAATGTGTGGGGTCTGGGTACGAACCCCAGCCATGCTAAGTCAGCAGTGAAGCCTCTCACTACTGAGACACCAGCACATCCCTCTGATGAACTCCCAGCAAGGCAGATGATTCCCTAGAGAGCCCACATCCAGCTACCCATGCCTGGTTTGTCAGCCAGAGTAAGGACGGAGCTACTGGAGTAACTGGTGTAACATGCCCATCGCCAGAGTATTCTCATTTGGGTTGTTCCTTCTGCATTCAACACAAGGTGACCATAGGGGTCCATGGGTGATTTCACCATCTCCCTCCCTAACTTCTGCCTGATAAATGCTGCCATGTTTTTTCCCAAAGGTCACCGCATCCCTACACCAAGGCTAGCTTCCAAACTCCTGGGGCAAGGGCACAGATCTGGTCCTGCTCTCTCTGGGCCAGCCCTCAACATCTTCTTGGACACCTGGAGACTAGCAGGCCCAGGGGCTCCCAGGTCTGCCTGGGGCTATTGCCTCATTTCACAGGCTCTAACAGAGATTCCTAAGCAAGGATTATTTCATAAAACTTAATTTTTCAACTCAAGTTATTTCCTACCTGTCTTTGCCCTTCCATTGCTGATTTGTACGGCATTGTGCCAGTCACCCAATGGCTCTTGTTTTAATATCTGGCCATAAACCCCTCAGTGTTACAGCTGCCGGGAGCTGCTCTCACTGTCGCTCCCTTCAATGCAGTTAATTAAATTCCATGCACAGTTTATGGATGTAGATCATAAAACTCCCCTCACGGTAACGCTGGGACTAGATGTCAGACAATGATAAATGCCTAATTTAAATGTTATAATCGTGCATTCCCCACTTTTGCTGCCACTTCCACTCTCAGGGCTGAGGTTGAGTGTGCAGCTATTCCCCTCACCTGGCCCTCACTTCTCAGGCCTGAACTCCTCAGGCTCTGGCCAGTACTCTGGGTCATGACCCAGCACATAGGCTGGGATCATGACCACCATGCCCTTTGGAATAGTCACACCATTCTCCTCCCAGAATCCACATGCAGCTCCTATTCCAGCTAAGCACCCACTCCAGCTCGGAGTGAACGTGGCTCCTGAGCACATGGAAAATGGGCACCCATGGTCTGAGTGATGCACTTATCAAGAAAATACAGATCATAGGGCCAACAGCCTCAGCTTGCAATACTTTGATGTGCCATTTCTTCCCCCATACCCTTCTCCTGACTCCCTCCCTGTGATGGAAGACAGCCACTGTGTTGCTGAGCTGCACCTAACAAAGCAAGTGCTAATGGATGTGGTCTTGACAAACAGGGCGACTTCCCCATTTGAGAGGAAGGACTGTACTCAGAAATGGCCCAGTCCTCCTCCAGCTATTGATGCAAAGTGCCAGTGGCATCTGCTTTACCTCCTTCAACTTTCCGCTGGTGAAGGCTGGAGACAGCACAGTACGAATCCTTTTCCACTCCTCATCTTCAGCCACAATGAGGGCTGACTCCAGGATCCCGTTCAGACGGAAGTTCTGCACGGGGAGAACATTACAGCAAAAGGGACACTGTTATCCAGGGAGATGGGTGACAGTTTCCAGCCCCCTTCCACGTGACAGAAATAATCGAAAAAACCCACCACAGAGTGTTGATTTGGCCCCTAAAGCCATGTCAGCTCTACCTCCACCAGAAAATACAGAAGCAGAAACAAAAGTGTAAGAGTCATAAGTGATATCAGCCCTAGGGTACATCCAGGCTGATGTCCCAGTGTCCCAGCCAGAGTGGCCCTCACAGACTTTTATTGTTGGTACCATCAACAAACTGGGACGCAACAGAGAGCAACTACTTGTTGAAGGGCTCAGAGAAGGAGAATGGGAACCAAGAAGAAACTCACTCTTTCTTGCTGCATGCTCTCAGTACTGGAGAGCAAAGCACGGGAGTAGATGCCTACCCGGCGATCGGTAAAAATGCTACAGCACTCTTTCACCAGGATGTATTTGATGAGGATGGAGTCCGAAACAGCCAGCATAGGCTGCCTGCCATCAAAAATCCTAAGCCAAGAGAAACCCACAGTCAGTCCATCGCTCACGGTCGGTTGAAGCAAAAGCAGCCTACTTTGTCTGTGGCCAGAGCCATGCATGTTGACTGCTGGAGCCCAAAGGGTTTGGGCCAGCTGAGTCCCCCCTGACAAAACGGCTGAAGGGATGAGGCTGAAACTGTTTCATTATGTAGTAAAACAGGAGAAAGGGAAAGAAAGTGCCAAACACAGAGAGCATGAGCATTTCTAGCCACTATCTGTGATATTAAAGAGTTGCCAAAGCTGTGTGGGTTTAGATAAAAGGCAGCTTTTGCCACGACGTTGATCCCCTGCACTTGAGCTCTCTGAGCTCTGCTTCCACAACTGGTAGCTGGAGTCAATAAATCCGCACTGAACAGCCTACCTGTGAGGTAAAGAGATTTCCCTGCCTGGCCTATGAGGCAATGAGAGGGGAAAAACTCATCTGTCTCCTCCATTTTCCAATCAACAGAGACAGAAAAACTTAAAAGCTGTGGTGTGGGCTAAAGGGCAGGGAGCCTTGGGCCACAGACGGGGGAAGCTGCTGTCTTCAAGAGGCTTGAGAACATTTTATCTTCGGAAAAAACGCGCTAGATTTCATGAAGGGTTTTTTTTGTGCAACAATTCTGCTCCGGTTTGAGAGGTTCTCAATAGAAGCATGATAAGAGGCCCCTGCACAAAACCAGTACTGTGCAGGGAGTAGGGAGGCAGGTTGAAAGGTAACTCGCACCCCAGCTCTGGGAGAAGCAGGGAGCAAGATAAAAAACACCACGGCAGCCTGCAGCTTGCTTTCTGCTCAAGACAGACAGAAAAGCAGCTTCAAAGGCGTGAGGCTCAGTTTGACACCAAGCAGTGGAGGTTATTTTCAAAGCTTATGCAAACAAATGACCCCTCAAACTGGCCACCATTATGCCAGCCCTGCACCATACTGAAATCCCAGCAGGAGAGAAGCCTTGGAGAGATGGCTGGATTCTTTCCCAGTAGTGAACCTGGATTTTCCCAGGCCGTCACTGCTGGAATTACAGTTCTGAGACATGGTGGCAACATACCTTTTTTCATTCTGTTTTGGGGCCACGGAGCACCCCAAATAGGCACTTTTGTTCTGCAGAAAGAAACTACCCCCCCGATTTTGCCATACTTTTCAAAGCACATCTGATCAAAATTCAGGACTCCCTGCAAAAGAAGAAAGGAGAAATGAACAGTTTGTCGGTGAAGAGCGATCAAAGCAGGTCACAGATAGCAGTGTGGTGCATCCCACAGACCCATTGTAAGTGGCAGAGGTTGGGGGGTGCGTGGTAGTTCATGAGTCGTGCAGACACATGGGACATTTGCACTGGAGGGAAAAAAGAGGGCTGAGAGAAAAAAAGAAAAAAAGGCTCTTTCAACTTCCACTAGCCAACCTGAGCTAAAAATGTAATGAAGACAAGGTACTACAGGGTACACAGTTTGAGCATGAGCAGAGTTAACAGGCACAACTAGATCCCAGGGTGTCCTTTATCTTCAGCTCAACAAGTTAGAGCTGCTACTGCCTTGTTCTCATGAGATCTTCCACTGCAGTTACCGAACCGGAATGATGATGGTTTTTTTGTTTTGCTTTGTTTCCATTAAGATTTTAACTGATGTTACATGTAAGGATGAAACTTATGGGACACATAACGCTCATCATGCATCAACTAAACCATTAGTAAGAGACCATGTGCATGCTGTAAACCCAGCAAACACAAGCTAAAACACCTCTTTCATTGAAGCTAGTACATTTTGTTCTGCGTTTGCAGTCAGTTACCTCTGACCAGCTACTGCCTAGTTATTTGGTAAGGTTTGGTATCTTAATAATATTTGAGTTTCGTTTAGAAATCTGTTTGTCTGACTTAGTCTCAGGCTGGCCCGACAGCAAGTGGCTAGGTGGGGCATCACTGGAGCTAATTCAGCCTCTTCATGGGGTTTCACAAAACACAAAGAAACATGCAGTTCTCAGAAATTATCAGTCTTGGGCATCTCTCCAGTCTTTTATTTTTTTCTTTGTTTCCAATAGAACTTAAGCTGCTGGGGAACAGGTAGAAATCCAGGGAGAAAATAACAACTTAAATTACGAAGTAGTTGAAAAACACAGCAGACCTCATTTAGGTCAACCTGATTTTTTTGTGTTCTCTGTGTGGCCAAATATCTTCCTACCTGAAAGCATCACTTCCATCCATCTGAATCAAGGGCAGAGGAAAGAGATGCCCAAAGGACGGGAAAACCAGCACCACCTACAAGTAAGAATCTAAGGCAGTTATGGAGCAGCAACTGCCAGTACTCACATGCCAGTACCCCAGGAAAGTTCCCAAAAAAGGCAGAGGCTGTGGCCCAGGAATACACAGCTTCTTGAAGGCCTGGAAGGACCATATCCCATAGCTGCCAAGCAAAGAGCACGTGAGATGTATTTATTGTTGTGGTTTGAACCCAGCCAACAGCCAAACACCATGCAGGCACTTGTTCACCCTCCCCCACCCCAGGGCATGGGGGAGAGAATTGGAGGGGCAAAGGTGAGGAGACTCATAGGTTGAGATAAAAAAAAAATTAATAATCGAGGTAAAGTAAAATTAAAATAATAATGATAATAATAGTAATAATAGAATATGCAAACAAGTGATGCACAATGCAATTGCTCACCACCCGCTGACCGATGCCCAGCCTGTCATCAGCTAGTGAGCCCAAAGGAGAGAAAATCCCAAAACTGCAATTCTGGAAGAGCCCCAGCTTCCTGGCCCACCCTCATCTATATAGTGAGCATGACATTGTATGATATGGAGTATTCCACTGGCCAGTTTTGGTCCATTGCTCTGGCTATGCTCCCTCCCAGCTTCTTGTGCATCTAGCAAGACGTGGGAAGTTGAAAAAAATCTTTGATTTCCTAGCAACAACTAAAACCATCAGTATATCATCAACATTCTTCTCATACCAATTCCCATACTGAATCCAAAACACAGCATTATTCTAGCTACTAAGAAGAAAAATTAGCTCTATCCCAGCCAAAACCAGGACATTTATGCAATGAAAAGAGAAGATTCTTCATCCTGAGCACAGTGAACAGCTTAAATAACTGGTTCCTGTCACCCAGAGAAAGCTGAAATTATGCCCAGTAGCAGCAGACCTGGATACTCTCTTCCTGCAATAAATGCAGGGTCACTTGGGGTACAAGATAATTCTGGGTACATTTTGATACAAGGGCTGAAAGGAGCTGCAGCCCAGCCCAGGCAAACAGGATATATCTGGGCGTCTCAGGTCTTTATTTAGTTCCCCAAATCAGATAACTGTGACTCAGGTGACTGACGAGACGTCTCAGAGGGATTAGGTGCTCAAGCTGAGACCCACCCTTGTGTTTGTCTTTGCAAAGAACTACTGCAATACTCATGTGGTAGAGCCGCAGCAGCCGAGCAGGGACCTCTATTACAACAGCAAAATTAAGCTTTTGCCTGTATAGCTCATTACAGCTCCCTGAGTGACAAAAGCAAATGGGTAATTTTGCCAACATACCTATTTAAACAGGGGCTTCTGCCGGCACAAGCACACGAGCAGACACAGACATCACCCACTGCCCTGCTCCCAGCTTGCAGAGCCTAAGGGCAACCTGACCCCTCTGCAGCCAACCAGAGCTTGCTGCAGTTAAAAACCCGGGAGTTACTCCTCCTTTTGGGTTTGCCGAGAAAAGCAAAAAAAAAGGAAGAAGTTCCTTTTTATTTCCCTCCCAGCCCAGCTTCCTCCTTCCCTTCCAGCTGGCGTGAGGAGGGCGTGGGGGAGCCCTGCAGCCCCACGCTCCCTTTATCAGCCCTTGGCTCTGCCTTGAAGGTATCACAGGGAGACTGAGGATGAGTTTTTAGCATTAATTCATGTACTTGGGCTCTTCATTTGGAGGGTGACTAGCCCCTCCCCAGCTGCAGGCACAGGGTTCTCCTCCTCCCTGGCCACCTGGGGGACCAGCCTCTACTTACAGGACCAGGAGGCTAAGGAAAACGATGAGGAGCAGCCAAGTAACAAAAGAAAAGTTTGGCAGGAGATCCATCGTGTCTCCCAGCCTGCCCTGAGAGCACCCAATCTCCTGTGCAGCCACAGCCTTGGTTTATGATTTTTTTTTTGAGCCACGCTCGCATGACCTTGAAGGAGACATTATCTCGTTTACTCAGTTGCTCAAACTTTAACCCTTGGGCAGATTTCTCCCTGGATTGGGTTGACAATAAGATGCCCAGCCCACACCTCTTGAGATTGGAAACTGCAGAAAGGACAGTTTTTAGAAGAGGAAAAGACAGCAAAAGGCATCCACATCCCTAACCACTTCCACCTGCCTCTGGCCCAAAACCCATGAGATTCTCATGGGGCTGAGAGGGAGCCCTCGGCTGTTCCTACAGCAGCAGTGATGCTGAACCAGACTTACTTCCCTCTTACCCTGTCCAGTCTTGCTTTTGCTGGCTTTGTTGGTTTTATTGAGGGGTATAACTGGGAGGGCTGAGGAACTGCTACTGTCCCCCCCCCCCCCCTCCTGGGGGTTTCTGGTTGTGCAGATAAAGCTTCCCTTGTACCTCCCCCTCCCATCCCCATTTATGTTGCCCTCCCACACCTAGAAGGGGAAGGGCTGCAGGAGACAGATCTGCTGGGAAACACTTGCCTGAGGCTGAAAGGGGTCCGTTGTCTTCAGGCAGATCCCTCTAGTCCTCAGACTCGGTGGAGAGAAGGATGTGGTCCTGTGGAGGCACAACCTGTGCTCACACCTAAGCCGACGGGAGTTATGGCTGACGTCCCACTGCACAGATCGGTGGCTTTGCTGACTTGCCTCTCTGTGGCTCAAGCCCCAGGAAGCCACCAGGGCATGGGCATGTGGGTAGGAGGTGTCGAGCACCAAACAATCTGCTGGCATGGTGAGAAGCGCACTCGCAAGGAGGTCAGCCAGTGCCAACGCTCCCCAGCCATGGCGATTAGGGATGGGTTCCCATTTCCCCTTTGCCCCAGACTGTTTGCTCTCAGGCATGGGGCTGCACAAGATGACTTTTCTTGTTCAGCTTTAGGCAGCTCTGTCCACCCCAGACACACACACGGGACCAGCTGCTTTCTACCAGAGAAACAGGGAAAATGCGTTATGCACACAGGGAGGCTGCGCAGTGGAGCCTCTGGCCAGTTCAGCTACAGCGTATGCAAACTCTCTGAGCTGATGGGTGGCTGTGGGGATGGGTCAGGACACGGTCTCCTTTGTCCCCATCACACCAGGAAGGACCACGAGACCCCTCCTCTGTGCAGTCCAGTATGGTCCCCTTCCCCATGTCCGCTCAGCCCACCAGTAGACCCACATGGCCAAGGGGAATTGGGCCCCAGCCAAGGACCTCACGTGTACATAATGCTGCCCTGCACCAGGCATTGCTCTCCTGCCTTTGGCACACTCGGCCTTGAAGAAACCAAACTGCTTCTGCAATTATTTGCCAGTCAGTGCAGGCAGACACTGTGTGGCTGTGCCCACAGGCCAGCAGTGGTCTTTGCCTCTGTCCAAACATTTGTTTTGCCTCATAACTCATGCAGTGGGTGCCGAGGCACTGGTGAGTCCAGGGGTCACCTTCACGCCCGCGTGAAAGAGCTGAGCAGCAGCACTTCCATTTTTGGTGGGACAATGTCTCAGACATCCCCAGCTTTGCACAGCCAAGATATGCTCTATGATTCATATAATCAGTGGCTGACAGTAATCAATTAACCAATTTATGGAGCACGTGCCTGGTTCCTGCTTCCTTAGGCTGCTCTGGTGAGTCCAGGGGTCACCTTCACGCCCGCGTGAAAGAGCTGAGCAGCAGCACTTCCATTTTTGGTGGGACAATGTCTCAGACATCCCCAGCTTTGCACAGCCAAGATATGCTCTATGATTCATATAATCAGTGGCTGACAGTAATCAATTAACCAATTTATGGAGCACGTGCCTGGTTCCTGCTTCCTTAGGCTGCTCGGAAGAGAACCATACCCCAGGAGTTATCATTTATTGTTGCATTCAAAGGCCAGTTCTCCCTCTCACAGGGTCCCATACCAGAAGGACATAAAGAACTGCGATCACAGAATGGTAGGGATTGGAAGGGACCTCTGGAGATCATCTAGTCCAACCCCCTGCTAAACCAGGTTCACCTACAGCAGGTTGCACAGGATCACATTTGGATGGGTTTTGAATATCTCCAGAGAAGGAGACTCCACAACCTCCCTGGGCAGCCTGTTCCAGGGCTCTGTCACCCTCAGAGGAAAGAAGTTTTTCCTCATGTTCAGATGGAACTCCCTGTCCTCCAGTTTGTGCCTGTTGCCTCTTGTCCTGTCTCTGGGCACCACTGAAAAGAGTCTGGCTCTGTCCTCTTGACACCCGCCCTTTAGACATTCATCAGCATTGATAAGATCTACTCTCAGTCTTCTCCAGGCTAAACAGACCCAGGTCTCTCGGCCTTTCCTCACAAGAGCGATGCTCCAGCCCCTTAATCGACTTCATGGACTTACTCTGGATCCTCTCCAGCAGTTCCCAGTCTCTCTTGAACTGGGGAGCCCAGAACTGAACACAGCACTCCAGATGTGGCCTCATCAGGGCAGAGTAGAGGGGAAGGAGAACCTCCTTCAACCTGCTGGCCACACTCTTCTCTATGCACCCCAGGTTACCACCAGCCTTCTTGGGGCACATTGCTGGCTTATGGTCAGCTTGCTGTCCACCAGCACTCCCAGGTCCTCCTCTGCAGAGCTGCTCTCCAGCAGGTCGACCCCCAGTCTGTACTGGTGGATGGGGTTATTCCTGCCCAAGTGCAGGACCCTACACTTGCCCTTTTCGAACCTCATGAGGTTTCTCTCTGCTCAACTCTCCAGCCTGTCCGGGCCTTGCTGAATGGCAGCACAGCCCCGTGGGCTGGCAACTCCTCCCAGTTTTGTGTCATCAGCAAACTTGCTCAGGGCACCCTCTGTGCCTTCATCCAGGTCATTGATGAATATGTTGAATAAGACATGCTGGTGCCCCGGGTGCTGGGGCAGCAACTCCCCAGATGGGATTAGCTGTATTTCTTCCCTCGCACAAACCCTTTGATTTTCCAATAATCTCTGCTAAAAGCCATTGTGATTTCTCAGAGGGAAGTGGGTTTATAGTTCAGTATTTTCTCCTCTCTCAGACAGAAACTGAGGCAAAGACAGGCCTCAGAGGAGACCAAGGATGTTAGCTACCCCTGAAAAAGTAAATAAACTGTGCAGCAACTTCACATGCAATGAAATGGCTTGTTTGTCCAAAACAGGTTTGAGTGGGAGCAATCTATTGATCTAGAGGTGACACTCTAAGGAGAGCACAGGATGCAGAGCCTGATCAAACCTGAGGTGCTTCGTCATACAGCTGAGGGGTCAGACAGTGACACCGTCCCCCTGACCCGTTTCACATCAGGAGCACTTCTCTTCCTGCAGGGACATGCTCTGCAAACCTCCCGGCGACCCTACAGTGACGAACAGTCAGGAGGGGAAACCCATAGGGCTGGTGGCAGGGATGTCACTGCGCAGAGTTCCCGCAGCCGGGCTCTGTAGCATCCCCGCCGGGAGCCACATCTGTCAGGTATGCGTGTGGCTGGTGAGCTCCTGCAAACTCCTTATTTACCTGAGTTTTGGTTTGTTGTTGGCATCTCTCTCAAGGCACCGTTGTCTTCCTAGCTTCACAGATTTGAGAAAATCATAGTCGATAACAGTCCACCTCCCAACTGAAATTGCTACGACAACTCAGGGCTGCAGGTGGGGTGATCCTGAACACTCATTGTCACATAATTTTATACAAATTGAATGTATGAAAGCGATGCTTTTATACTCAGGCAGCCTTTTGGACCAAATGTGATGCTAGAGTGTGTACTTACTGAGGCTGGTTTATTTTTTAATGTATCACCCAGAAGGGATAAAGCAGAGGGGAAGGCTCTCCAGATCAGGTTTCGTGACAACATTTAAAGGGTTTTAGAGTTGTGGGCAAGCAAACTGCACAGCAGTGCTGCAGGTGAGGCTTCTGTGGCGTCCCAGCACCTTGCCTAAGAGAAAGGAAAGAAGTTGCCCAAGCTTGGGCTACACAGCTCTCATCTGTCTAAGGCTGGTGACCCAGGAAAAACACCTTGTAGTACTGAAAGGGGGAGTGATGAGTGCCCCCCACCATGCTCATGCAGCAGATGAGCTAAAACAAGTGAAAAATAATAGCAGCAGCAGCAGACTGCAAGTTGACATCAATGCTTCTTCTAATTTCACCTCTTTCACAAAATTGTCACTTTCTTTTCCCCCTCTCCTGTTTCAGATAACTTATTTAACAGGAAATGTCTCCACAAGAGCTGTTAAACCCCATTGGTAAGAGTCACATCAACAGCCAGCGACCTCTTTGATGCATCGGGCTGCAGGCATAGTTATCTATTAGAAGGCAGTGATGGTTTGCAGCCCTACTGATGTTTCCAGGGTTAATGCTCTGTACCTGTGGAGGACCCAGAGTGGTCCAAGAACCTCTTCCTCCAAGTCATGAGCAGACGTGGCCCCAGCCTGCCTGACATTGCCCTTCTTACTAACACCAACACAGTGCCATTTCTTTCCCCATGAACAAGAAAACCCTGAAGAGGCTTGTGGGAGCCCTGACGATACGCACAGTGCTATAAAAAGACTATATATTCTTACACCCTGGGGAGAGGAGGAGTGACTCAGTGTGACTGCTGCTTCCCCCCCATGGCACCGAAGCCATGGCCCCACGTGCCTCCCACGCTCGTCCGCTGGCCACCACGTGGTCCATCGCACTGCGGTGACTCCTGGTGTGTTTGCTCTTGCCACACTACCCCAGCAACAACCCTGGTTCAATATTAACTCTCATGCTATCTACCACTCCTTGTAGCAACAGTGGCAGGGTGCTTGGCTTTCATCCATCAGATACTTTCCCTGTGTTTGTGTTACTGCCAGCATCCTGCACTCCTCTCACCTACACCGAGAGGGGACAGGTGGCCAAGCAAAATAGATATGTGGGGATTCAAAAGGTGATAGTCACCATGGTTAATGCAAACAGAAGAGGATTTG